ATAAATTAAAAAAATACATTTCAACACAAATAATTAATTTTTCATCTACTTTTCTTCCGATTTTGGAGGGATTGATCTTGGTGAATTAGAATGAAAGTTAATCTATCCATTTTTCTATCCTTCCTACTTTTCTTCCTTACTAAACACAATATTTTATTTATTCCTCAAACTTTTTATTGTCTCATTTTTTTCATCGTATCAAACGGAACATAATACTATTTATGTTAATTATTCGATGTACAAAATCAAAAAACACATTATCTAATATGTAAGGGTGTAAGACTTCCTTTGAAGATATATGTCGGCTGAAAGATATATGTAAGACTTTCGCTTTGGTATGGGCCAAAGCTTGATATTTTTGTGGTAGAGATAATCCGAAGTTTGAGTCGTCGATGAGCAAGTTACAAATGTCGACATATATGACTTGTGTACTTACAAAATTTTTTGCACGTTTTGGATAAGAGATTGTCGACTCCGATCTCTTATTCAAAACGTGCAAAATATTGGAGTTCAAATAACATGACAATTAATTTGAGTTTCTTTTTTAGTGTCATGTCATTTGTGCTCTAATAAATATTTCAAATAATATGTTATCATGTCATTTATATTTTAAATTTAATCTCAAAATTTAGTCAATATAACATTATTGAATATTTAATACTCATAACACATTAAATAAAAAAAAATTTGTGGGTCTTGACATGAATTTGATACGACAAACAATAACACGACACAAATAACACGACATATAGATCACACCAATACGATAAGAAAATCGTAGCTACAATGGCTATGAACACTTACTTGAAAAATATATAGCAGGTTGCAGACATCTCTCATTTGACATATCATACATGGAAAATCATAAAATAAATAAAAATTAATTATATTTTATTTAAGATCAAATTACGATTGAAAAATAGTAGGTTTAATTGCAAATTACATCCTGAAAGATCGTTCAAATCTAAATTTACATTTTCAAAGATAAAAAATTTTAATTTATACCCTCAAAGATAAAAATTTATATCAATGCACACTTAAAACTAATAGCCGTTAGTTTGTCATCTAAAACTAAATAGATAAATTAGACCTAGATTTTCTCATACTTGTCACTTAATCAATTGGATTCCCTTCCATTCAAAATATTACTATTACACTTCCCGACGTTTGTGAACGTGTAATACAAAATCCTTTGTTGTTGATATCTGTTAATATAATTATTAAAAAATATAATTTCATCATAATAAAAAATTATAATTTTCATACTACCCTTTATTTTGTAGATTTAATATACTCTAAAGTTCAAAATCAAGCTTACCATTTGAATATCTAATATAATACATATATTTATATAATTTTTTTTTATATCCAATGCAATATATAACTTAAATAGAATTATTTGGATGCCAAATTGGGAGAATATTTTTAGTCATATTTGGATTCTAAAAGAATATAGATATAATATTTCGAATGTAAGGGATTTAAGTGATTAAGTGACAAGTTTGAGCGGATCTAAGAGTAATTTATCTATTTAGTTTTAGATGACAAATTGATAGTTGTTAACTTGAGTTGCACATTGATATAAATTTTTATCTTTGAGAGTACATATTAAGATTTGAACGATTTTCCAGGGTGTAATTTGAAATTAACCCAAAATATTATCACTTAACGAGGTCGAATTTCTTATAATTAGTGAAAATTAATTGAATGGTGAGAAGGTTAAATTTATAAGATAACTCAATGAATGCAAAAAACTTTCTGAAGTAAGTTCACTCTCGAAAGATTTACAAGGATAAAAACCAACCGGACTAAGGAAAGAATATTCTCATGATTTGAAGGATTTTCTCTAATTGTTAGGATACAAATGGGTTGTAGTATTGCCAATAATAATTAAAGATAATATATTAAAACTAAAATATAAAAGAGAAGAAAATAAAAAAGTCAGGGTTTAATAATATTATCCAAGTTATATTAAAATAAATGTTATACTAAATAAGACTCTACTGTCATTATACAATTTCTTTTAAAAATTCAAAAATTTGTCATCAATTAATAAAAATAAATAGACATAAATAAAAACAAATTTAATTATTTTAACAGTTAATTTTTACCTTTTTAAAAAAAGAATATGAAATACTTAAGTATGTGTAATATTAATATGAATTTTCATATTAATAATGTAAGTATTGCTTTTATTGTGAGAATAAAGTTGTGCAACAAAAAGTTTAACATTGATCATGTTATATTAATATGTGTTCTACATTAAATAAGACTATTAATGTCTTTATATTTTGTTTTAGGGTTAAATTAATCAATTAAAAGTTTATTCTAATAATGTACTATTATTAGTTGTAACTTAAAAGTATAACAAATACTTATTAAATTATAAAAAATATGGAATAGACTGTTTTAAGTTTCATTTAATTATAAACAATTGATTGAACAAATTTAAAAAGTTAAATTGTGGTAAGTAAATTAATGTAATCTAAACTATTAAATTCAAGTAAAAAATTTTAAACCTGAGGTGTAGATGTTTACAAGAAAGTAATTTATCAAAATTTTAAGAGTTAATAAAATAAAAAAAACTAATATTCATTCTAAAGAAATGTAGTGTGTGTCTATTACAATTTTCATTAGCTATATAATCAGAATATTTAAATTGTTTAATTTACAAGTATGTATTTCATATTATATTTATTTGATTATTCCACGTTAAAAATTTAATTGAAACAAAATCATAGCTAAAAAAACCAACGAACAAGGTAAGTGTGCACGATATAGTAATACTAAAGACTACAAACTAGACCCAACATGAAATTGAAAACATGATTAAAGTTCAAATTGAGCATCTTGGCCCAAGAGAAATCCCAAATCAATTAGTAAATAAAGCTCACTACCTGGTGTGTGTGTGTGAGAGAGAGAGAGAGAGAGAGAGAGAGAGAGAGAGCTTTTCTTTTGAATGCTTCCAAAAAATGGAAAGGCCTTCCCTTTTTTGGGCCTCTCTTCGGGGGCCCCGGAGATTCTTAAACTTTGAGGCCTACGTACTCATCTATAATGGCCAAACTTACGAGTAACTAATTAATTTAAGAGTAATATTATTTGGATCTAAAAATTTAATATAATGATATGATTTCATAAGAATCATTAGATCAACACGAAGTTTCAATATTTGATAGGATTTACAATGAATCCAAAGATTACAGTAAATTAGATCAACAAATTATGTCAATAAATTAGGTTTCAACAATATTACTCTTAATTTGACAGCCCGTCAATAGTACCAAATAGTGTAATTGTAAAAAAAAAAATAAAAATAAATAAAGTGAATTCCACTTCTTAGGTGAAATGGTTACACTATTATAGGAATGGGTAGTTGTTGCATTTTGTGGAGTTTAATTACGAGCAAATACTGTTTGGACATAATTTGACAGTATAATGAGTATGACCATTGAAAATGATCTTAACATTGAAAATATTTTACTATCAATCCAATGGTCAAAATATATTATGTTCCTAAATTATATCTCAATAACATTGGTGTTTACTTAATAATGGACTCTGACATAATGTAACACTATTGACGTGATGAAACAGTTGTATTGAATATTTTATTTTATGCTTTATTTGATATGGTGGAACAATGGAAGAATAAAAAATTTAAATGATGAAAAGTTAAAATAATAGAAACATCATGTTTAGTAAAGAAATAAAATAAGAAGAATTGAAAAGTATATAAATTAGTTTTCCTTTTAACTCACTAAAAGTTATTCCTAAAAAATTAGGAGGAAAAATTGATAAAAAAATTAATTATGGGTATTAAAATATATATAATTTACTTTTATATCTTTTAATATATGTATATATACTATTTATTTATTAGATATTATGTACACTTTTTTTACATATTATTTATTTACTTTTTCAATCATTCAATTTTTAGTCATATTAAACACAAAAAAAATTAATAATTTTTACTTTCTATCCCTCCCACCAAACAAAAATAAATAAATAAATAACTAAATAAAGTTTATAGCTTATACTTTTTATTTATTTATTTTTTCATCTATTCTACCAAACACATCATAAACCGTAGGCGGAGGCTGAATAAAGTTATATAGTATGCAGACCATAATGATCTCAAACTGCATTTTGTAAACCAGTTGATCAATGCATCGAAACAGACCCCTTGGATTGAGGGTGACCCAGGGCTGAGGTGTTTAACGCTAATGATTCGTGTTTGATACTAATATCACTTGTTTATTAGTATTTGCTTAGGAGGCTATTTCATTTTTGAATTCTTATTAAGGACTAGTCAACTTAAAATTTAATAATTTTCTATTAGTGTCATCATTTCTGTTTATAAACCTTAAATCACGAGTTTGAACCTTTTCGTTCCCTTTTCTTGTAGAAATGTTTGACAAACAAAAAACTTATCATATCGAAATATGCTACAAGATAATATGCTACTGAAATTGAAAAGTTGCGATATCAAAAAATAAATTTTGATATAATGACGAATTTTATGATTTAATCCAGTCATACAACTTAACCTTTAAAACTCAAAATTGCAATGAGACGGATTTAGAATTGATCCATACATGTTAGTATGGGTTAATAATATTTTTATTATTCAAAATATGTATATTTTCTTATTTATTAACTTTATCAATGCAATCACTAAAATATTTTATTTACGTTTAAATGGTCTTTAACTAAATAATCCGTTTAGTTTTTTAATAGAAATAACTATGTGTCATTCTTTTAAACGGTGATCAACACATGAACATTTATGTCAAAAATTTAATGGACTATTTGTGTAGAAACTATTTAAACACGCATTAAATATTTTATGGATCAAACTGATAAAATTAATTCATTGGGGTCCAAACAGATAAAACCAGCATAATTTAGGGACTTAAAATGTTATTAAGCCATTTTACAACTAATACTCAGCATACTGGGGACAGGGGTAACTATTTATACAGCTAGGGTTTTTGGCCCAACCTCCCCAAGTCAAGAGTCCTCCACAATCTCACCATGGACACAACAAATCACTCAAGCTCAAGCCACCACAATACCCACAAGCAGAAGAAGAAGAAACTACATACCCCAGAAGTCAAGTTCCGCTTCGACCTTGACCTTTGCTCCAAGAAGAAGGACCTTATCTCTGCAATCTCTCTCTACGAATTTGCCCTTTCCAATAGCATCCGTCTCACTCAACATCACTTCAATTCCCTCCTCTACATTTGCTCCAACTCCGTAACCGACCCTTCAACAAAATCCTCGGCGATCGAATGTGGGTTTCGAATATTCAATCAAATGGTGTCGAATAATGTTGAACCGAATGAAGCAACTATCACTGCGGTGGCTAGGCTTGCTGGGGCGAAAAATGACGGTGATTTGGCGTTTGAGTTAGTGAAGAGTATGGGGACTAAGTATAAGGGGGTGGTGCCGAGGTTGAGGACGTATGGTCCGGCAGTGTTCTGTTTTTGTAGGAATGGGGAGGCTGATAAGGCATATGAGGTGGATGAGCATATGGGTTTTATGGGAATTCGCCCGGAGGAAGATGAGCTGGCGGCGTTGTTGAAGGTGAGGTTGAAAATAAAGTTAGATGGCTTGACTTTCTGTAATTATGATGTTTTGTTTGTAATTATCAATTTCCTATAGCGAGATTGTATGTAAATTGTTATAATTTGAATGCTCTATATCTTTTTTATAGTCGATATTTTAGTAGCTGGAACTACGGGGAGTTTGGGTTGATATTTTTATTTTCCAAAGATATTGATAGCCATTTATTGATAGTTAGGTAAGATATTACTTTTTAATATGTAATCTTGTATTTTTGGAAGCAAATTGATTTGATTTATTAGTTTATATATTCGTTGGTTTGGATTTTAATGCTGTTTTTGGTAATAATATGTTTCTTGAAGGTGAGTGTAGAGAAGAGGAAGGAAGAGAAGGTGTATGAATATTTTCATAAGCTGAGAGGGACGTTAAGCTGTGTGAGAGAGTCAACGGCAGAGATAATTGAGAGTTGGTTTGGTGGGGAAGTGGCTTCTGAGGTGGGTTTGGTCAATTGGGATGTGCGTCAGGTGGAAGAAGCGGTATTAAGAAATGGAGGTGGTTGGCATGGGCAAGGATGGCTTGGAAGGGGGAATTGGGTTGTGCATAGATCGAATATTAATTTGGGTGGGTGCTGCAGCTCATGTGGGGAGCAATTGGTTTGTGTTGATATTGATAGAGAGGACACTGAGAAGTTTGTGCAGTCGGTGGCATCATTGGCTATGGAAAGAGAACGCCAATCCAATTTCAAGGAATTTCAGGTTAGTAAACAGTTTGTTGGTTAATATTACTAGCTTTTTGGGTTGATGTATAGAAACTTTGTAATGGTTTCTAGTGAGTGTCATTTAGAGTTAGTACTTTCCCCCAGATATAAGGAGTAAGGAGGTAATATGTATAGTATGAACCATGGGATAGACTTCAATATGATTTAGTTTGTTTGGCCATGTATGAGATGTAAGCATTATGATTATTCTGTACATATTTGGTTGGCTCACCCGTTAATATAGCTATACCTGGTTCTGCTAGGGCTGTAATGCTGTGTTGCTTTTTAAGCAATTGGCACATTGGCTTCATGTTCATCAATGCTGATTGTCAATTGCTAGGATTTCTTAAGCTTTTAAATGATGACAATTGGTTATCTTAACATTGGAATTATATTGCTCTTTTGATAGGTATTTATGTTAGCATAATTTGCTGATTGTGATAATCTGGCTTTTTCTTTCTAATTTGCTTTATTTTTTAAATATTTATTGAGGATTGGCTTGAGGAACATTCTGAATATGAAGCTATAATAGATGGAGCAAATGTGGGGCTCTACCAGCAGAATTTTGCAGATGGTGGATTTAGTATCTCTCAGGTTCTATATCTTGAGTTGGTTATTGGTTGCCTCTTTTTTTTTTTTGAAAAAAAAGTTTTATTTCACTCTTTTATAATTAGCTATTCCTTTTGACTCATTTTGTCTGGGTTGTAAAAATTGCTATAGAGCAGGTTGATGCTGTTATGAAAGAATTGTATAAGCAGAGCAAGACATGGCCACTTGTTGTCTTGCACAACAAACGCCTTCGGACACTTCTTCAGAATGATTTGAATCGAGAGCTTATTGAGAAGTGGATGGATCAAGGAGTGTTGTATGGAACACCAAATGGATCAAATGATGATTGGTAAAAAATTCTAAACTTTGCAAATGTCTTTGTTGATGATCTTTATTTGCACTACTTTTTATTTGCATGGTGTTGTTAATACTCACACTTGCCAGTGTATTTCTTACTTCATATTTGGTAAACTTTTATTATTGCTTTTGTGTATAGCATTCTTCACGTGTTTTACAATTGTTGCTTTTGTTCTTAGGAATCTTCAAAGATACTAATGCTAGTTCTTCACTATGATTCAGGTATTGGCTTTATGCTGCCGTAAAACTCAAGTGCCTGCTTGTGACAAATGATGAGATGAGAGATCACATTTTTGAGCTCCTAGGTAGCAGCTTTTTTCTCAAGTGGAAGGAGAGACACCAAGTAGGTGTTCTCTAAAAGCTCATAATATTCAATTGTGCTTATTTTTACAGCTGTCTGGTTACGGTTGTTTATAATGCTTCCCCTATTTTCCCTTCTATTAAAGGCGCTACCCGAGGGGGAGGACAAGTGATCAGTTTGGTTGACATAACAGAACAAAGAAGAAATACTTTTGATTTACTTGTAATTTGGTGGGCCTCTTCTTATGAGAAAGAAATGGATAGGTGACTGAGAGAATAGATGCCACACACTTTAGATGGTATACAGTAATGTTGTGGAAGTGGGTTTTATGTAGCTAGGGTCCATCTATGAATCGGAACTTGGAAGGAATATTATGCCTCCACTTATCAACCATGTGAACTACGAGTTGTTTAGGGGTGTCTTTCACCAAATTAAGGCTTAAAACTTGGAGTGTCGATTTCCAAGTAGCTTCTTTTATGTAATTTCTATAATTTAAGCTTCGTATCTTAATGATGTATGTACAACTTTCTAGTTTTCTTGACAATAACGTGGGACTTATTAAGTTTGGTTTTTGAATTCCTGATTGATGATGTAGTGGTTGGCAAAATTTATACTTCTAATTAGGTCATGGAAATCTAAAGCCATGTCCAGCTTTCCATTCCTCTTACATTGTATGTTGAGCATGTGTTTGATGCTGGCACTTGTATATAAAAGATGATGCTTGGAAAATTTTGGTTCTTCATGGCTCTTTTTCTACCTGCTCTTCAGGTTAGATATATATCTGTTAAAGGTAACCTGCAACTCCAAATGCCACCCTCATACTCTCTTGTCATCCAGGTATGGTTGTAATTCTTATAATTGTAGTTCCATGTACTTGTTTCCTTAAAAAAGTATGAAATTGTATTCTTCCATACTTCATTGGTCATGAACTATGGCATTGTTCTAGTATTAGATGTGTGCTCTCTTTTTTGTGTCCTTTGGCCACACTGTATAGAATTTATGATTTTGCATGCTTATTATTGTTAATTGCTTGTTGTTTTTGGTGTGTGGCATAGTCCTAGTCGTAGCCTGCTAAGATTCTAGAATGTTGTATTTCTTCACTGTAAAGCTTTCAATGCTGATGTTTTTCTTCTAAGGTTATCGGATCCTTTCAAAACTTGGTCATTTCAAGGATTATGTAGCACTTCTACCTAACACCGAGTGTTGAAGAGGCATTCAATCCTAACCCAAATGTACATCGGGGCCGTGCTTTGTTGAGCACATGTTTTATACATTTTTTTTTCTTTATGTGTGTACTATTATGATTTGCGGGAGGATAATATATGGGTTAGACCCCAATTTAGGGTTCACTAGACGTGAGGACGGTGATTGGTGGGTGGAGGAGAGGAAATACGTTGTATCTAGAGAGAAAATTGTGTTGGTAAGTGAGAGTAAAGAGAGCTTGGATGGAAAAGAAATCTTTTCATCTACTGCTCTAATTTGAATAGTAAGGACTGGGGGCATATGTAGACTGGTCACATTTGTGGCATAAGAATTATGGGGTGACCAATGAGTTGATGAAATGTGTCCTGTTTATTATCTCATCTTAAGCGGCATGTGTTCTGCAATCTCTAGCCCTTTCCCTTATTGGATGTGAATAGCTTATCTAGTGAATCCGCGTGAGGTGTGAGGGATGTGGAACACTTGCAACACCAAGGCTTCTTGCACTCATGTAGCAACAAGGGCAGCTATGGGAGACTTGTGCAGTTCACGTAATCTGTGGCACCAAAATTAGCTTGCATCTCCCTATTGAGTCAGACCAAGTTCCAAATCAGTGTCATTAATTATGGGTTGCCGTCGACTAGGATAGCTCTCTTGATGCAGAGGTGAACATGATTTTGAAGCTTTGCAGATATTTTAAGAGATGCCAACAAAGTGCAATAGGACAGTTGGGCACCCCCTTGAAAGTTAAACATAAATCAAGTGTAAAAATAAACTGAGCAAACTCCATCTCACAGGCTAAAGCACAGTTTAAATTTTGATCGAGGCCAGCACACAAAGCATGAAATGTGTCTTGTGAAGACATGCTTGTATCAAAATATAGAGGAAAATAACAAGTTCCCTTGAGTTTTAGCACTTATTCTGCATATGTGTAATGGGTATTGTGGCAGCGTTTTGTAATTAACTAATCTTGCAACATTCAGTATGGATGAATACAATTGAATTCGGTCTAAAGAGAGCACATTTTAGTTCGAATGTTTCCCAATTGCTTGGGCGAAACTCTTAACTGTTGGGGCATTCAAATTTACGTTCAAGGTAAAACGAATTAGTGACCCAATAGCAGTATCAGGCTACAGAAGCCATGTAAATTGATGCTAGCAAATGTATTGATGTGTGGGAGCAAACATGATATTCTTTTTGTTTCCTTTGTAATGTTAATGAAAGATAGATTTAGATATTAGTTGTTTTATCTTCGACATAGTATTTTCTCCACTTATAATACAGATGGACTCTTGAAAATTCTACCTTCAGGATACAATGCCTAACTTTAAGATTATTAAAGACTGCACTCCTTGATAATATTATTAGAACCAAACACTCAACCTGAATATAAAAATCAGAAAGTTTGAACCTCTAGAATAAGACAGAAGAAGAAGAAATCAAATATCTTGATTACTTTGTTATTGTACTTGAACTCTATTAATAGTTTTCTATGCATTATGCATTACTTCATGAAGGAATACATCCCTTCATAACTGTGGCGGAAAACACCCCTTGGAATTGCAACAATATAGTCTTCCGAGAGAAAACTCAAACGAAAATTGAAATTTAAACTTCATGTTTGAACAAACTTTTCAAGTTTGAATGGACGAAACTTTTAGTATCTTGATTCTGAGATTTTTTGAGTTTTTTGCTAAATTACTGGGAGAAAGTCACGGTCGAATGAGGCTATGCTTGAACGAATCAAACTCTCAATATCTTAGTTTCTGTTAGAAACTGAATTTCTAATAAAGTACTGGAAGTAAGGCTCGGTCGAATGAAGTGTGCGCTCGAACGTCACCTAAAGTAACGTTTGAAAGAGGTTGCATTCGAATAGACCAAACTTTCAGTATCTCAGTTTTTGTCAGAAATCGAGTTTTTGATAAAGTATTGAGAGGAAGACTTGTTCGAACAAAGCTTGTGTTTGAACTTCACCTCCCTCCTTTTTTATTTTTTTTCTTTCTTTCTTATATATATATACAAAATTATAACTTGAAGTTTTCATTATGTAGGCCTTCTCCTTGATAGAATTCCTTAGGTGGAGAATAAAATTCTTCCTCTATTTATAGGAGAAGATGAATCCAAGAAGGACCCCAAGAACCAATGTGGGATTCTTGAATTTGCTCACCAATTCACAACTCCAAATGTTTTAGAGGGAAGTGTGAAAGTTTCACTTTTCTACCAAATCTTAATTTATAAGTACTTTATCTATATATATGGGCTTGGCTGCAATATTATTGTTCTTTTAAGGACAGACTCTTGTCTTTATACGAGTCAAATAATTTTTTCATTTGTTCAGAATATATCCTTTCAATAGTACCACGAGTTTCCCACTAATCATAAAACCAGTTTGAAATTTTCATACAGGTTTTAGTAAATTGAAAGAACCATGAATGCTTTAAATTTATGGCATTATACAAAAAAACATTATTCCAAGCTTCAATATAATCAGGTAATGATCAGATAAAGCTGAACATAAGCCATGATGTCACTATAAAACTATTAAAGCGGTGAATTGTAAAAAGTGTAAAGGAATGATGACGTATGTAATGACGTCAATGTAAATTATTAAAGTTGTAAATAGTTTAGGTTGTGTTGAAATCCGGATTTCAAGTCCGGCCTCTATATAACGAGGTGCAGACCCAGTCTGTTGGGTACCCTCGAATGACCCTCAAATCCTTTCTCTAGACTTTTTTCACACCTCCCTATGTCTACATATTCTCCCACCTTTTCTTACTACACCCACCTACCTCCTTTATCAATAGCCTTCCTTTCTCTTGTAAATATTCTTCGTCTCCTTCCTAGTGCAGTCATCTCTTTTGTATAATATCTCTGTAAGTCTTCTCTACTATCGTACAAACTTTTATATCAATAAAAGCTCTCTTTGCTTTGTTTTGGTATTTGCATGATCTTGTCAATTATGGTATCAGAGTCATATATGGCAGCTTAAATATATTCTGTTGATTTATATGCAGATCTATTACTTATTATTTGTCTAAGCCCAGTATTTATAACTGTAGGATTTATTGACCAATTAAGAGACTAGTGAGATAACTATTTAAGTTTAACTCAAAAACATAAAATTTTAAATGCAGTAAAAATAATAACAGCTAAATATGAGAGTATAATTACTCAAGAACATGTTTACACTTTAATACAAACAATATTAAAACACTTTGTAGGGACAGGCTTACAAAGTACAGATAAGAGTAACGAACTCTTAATGAATTTAAGATGCTGCACTTTAAAACATTTTAGGTGGTATAAAGATGTATTTATAGCTAAAATCTTATTAAGAACAGACGCTAATAATGAATTTTAGAAAGAAAAGTTTATATTAGGACTACTTTCTAACTTATTTGCTGAAAAAATAAGAATTCGTTTAAGACAGAGACATGGAGGATTTAAAATTCCTTATGAACTTTACACTTAGGGAGAATTAATTTTTGAATGTATTTCAGAAGGATTAGCTTTCTGTAATGATTTAAATTTCAAAGCTCAACTTAAGAGACAGAGATTAACGGGTTGTAAAGAGTTTGGAGAATTTTGTAATCAATTTACTTATAATCTTGATATTCCAAAAGATAAATTTTCATCTAAAAGAAAATCTTATAATAAACCATATAAGAAAAGATGAAAATTCCATAAAAGGAATTATGACAAAGATAAAACAAATAAATCCACTAAAAAACTTAAATTAAAAGATAAAAAACTAATTAAGTGTTTTAAGTGTGGAAAAGGTCATATTGCTTCAAAATGTTAACTAAACAAAAAATTAATGAGTTAATTGTCGATGAAGATCTTAAAGATAAGATTTTGATAATAGTTTTAAATTCAGAAAGTGAAGAGGAAGAATCTGTAAGTACTTCATTCTCTGAGGGTGACTCCTGTAATATTAATGAAATTGATGAAATAAGTGAATCATTGTTAGAAGATCTCTTAGGACAAGATAAAACTTGTTCATCACATACTAAGACAAAATTTGTTCATTACACTGTCAAGCACAAACTAATTATTATAAGGCTATTTTAGATATGAATGAATTAAGCATAAATACTTTGACTAAGTTACAAATATTAATTCTTGATCTTATACATCAAATTCAAGATCCAGAATTAAAAAGAAAAGCCATTGAACAATATTTGGAAATAACCCCAGAAGAGAAGAATCTTTCTCTGACTCAATCTTATTCTTTTAAAGAAGTTCTTAATAGAACATAAAATATGATAATTGACGAGAAAGATGTTTCGATGCAAGACCTTAAAGGAAAAATTAATCAGCTTAAAGTTGAAATAAAAATAATAAAGCAAAGACTTTTGGAATTAGAAAAAATGCCAATAAAGGAAGAAGACACAAAAGAATTACATTATTCTCCCAAATATTTAAATGAATTAGAAAAAATAACTTATCATAAATGGTATGTTAAAATCATAAAATAATTTATCAGAAATGGTATGTTAAAATCATACTTGTAATTAATCAAGAATTAATTGTTGAAACAATTGCACTAATTGATAGCAAAGTAGATATAAACTGTATTAGAGAAGGATTAATGCTTACAAAATATTTTAAAGTTTCAATATTATATATCTTTTTAGTTGGGTACGGGGGTATATCCCAGTTCTGTAATTTATTTTCAATATCTGAGAACTCAAATTCTCCCATATTTTTAACATAATCATCTGTATGTCTATTATGAAATTTAAATAGGCTTAATGCCATGATTGTTCTTCAGAAAATTTTCTGTTAACCTATATGCATTTCTATTACCTTCATGTTGTTACAGTAATTCGTCTTTTAATTATGCTACAGTAATGCTATATTGACTGTTGCTATAATTATTCCACTATAGTGATTTTCTTCTAATTTTCTACTCTTGCTGTCAACTATTTACGGGGAACACCAACGGCCTCACTCCTATCTCTCGGATACAACTTAACGTCCCACACGCGACTTGGGTGCAGAACCATAGGAACAAAAGAAAACCATTATAACAAAATTAATAGAACAAATTCAAAATAACATTAGTTTAACAGAATTAAATCACAATTACATATGTAACAAGAATAGGTAATATCTAAACATCTAGCATCCCTTAAAGTTAGCATAAATGAGACATTTAATCATTGAAGAGTTAATGGTTTTAAAGTCACCTGAATTAATCCATTATGTAAAAATTTATAATTTTCTTGAGTCTTTAAGACTTCATTTTAATCGATCTTTAATGACAGTTATGCAATCCAGTTTAAACACTGGTCTAGTTTATTTTAACTATTTTTCAAATTTTTCAGTATCTTTAATGGATAAAACTATATTAGATGTAAGATATCATAATTGACAGGATCGTGCAAATATCAAAGCAAAGCAAAGAGAGCTTTTATTGATATAAAAGTTTGTACAATAGTAGAGAAGACTTAACAGAGATATTATACAAAAGAGACGATTGCATTAGGAAGGTGACGAAGAATATTTACAAGAGAAAGGAAGGCTATGGACAAAGGAGGTAGGTTTGTGTAATAGGAAAAGGTGGGAGAATGTGTAGACGGTACCCAACAGACTGGGTCTGCACATCGTTATATAGAGGCTAGACTTGAAATCTGGATTTCAACGCAACCTAAACTATTTACAACTTTCATTGTTTACAATTTTAATAATTTACATCGACGTCATTACATACATCATCATTACTGTACACTTTTTACTATTCATAGTTTTAATAATTTTTTAGTGACATCATGACTTAATCACTTCTTCAGAATCGATTTTATCTGAAAATTCAGCTTTATCTAATCATTTCCTATAAATCAAATTATACAGTACATTACCGTTGTCATCATGGAGGTTTATCTCCATATCATCATTAAGTAAATCTTTATTAATATAAATATTACCTTTAAGAGGGGTATATCCCTGAGAATCCATAAAGTCATCATCAGAGCCAATAGGAGTAAGTGTTTTCCTACCGCCCTCCTTAACTTTATCTTTCCCTTTTCCTTTTATGGCAATTGTTGGAATATTAGCGAGATCTATCTTTTTGGTTTTGCCCATTCCAAATGTTGACATAACCTGAAGACGTATCTCTTCCATAATTGCTGCTTTAAGCTGCTCAGTATTTAAATGAATGGAATGTTATGCTTTTTGTACTTAAAAATGTCCCATTTAAATTTCAGAACATTATTTAAACGGATGCTTCAGATAAAGGCTATGGAGGCATTCTTAAACAATAAGATCCTAATTCTAACAAAGAATTACTAGTTAGGTTTACTTTAGGAAAATGGGGATCTACGCAATTAAATTATTCTATTATTAAAAAGAAAATATTATCTATTGTTAAATGTGTAAGTAAATTTGAAGATGATTTATTAAATCAATAATTTTTATTAAGGATTGATTGCAGTTCTGCCAAAAATGTTCTTGAACAAGATGCTAAGAACATTGCTTCTAAACAAATATTTGCAAGATGACAGACTATTCTTTTCGTTTTTGATTTTAAAAATGAATATGTTAAAAGAGAATTAAATTCTCTTCCCGATTTTCTAACTAGGGAATTTTTGCAGGGTTCTCATGAATAGAGACTAGATTAGCCACTGTGGTCAAGGCCGTGGTAGAGGAAGATCTAGGGGAAGGTCCCAAGTCAATGCTTATCATCCTCGTTTAGCTGAATCATTAAAGCTCAAAGCTGTTAATAATCAACTTGTTAAAGAAACATCACATAAAAGTGATGAAGGATCTTCACATAAAAGTGATAATAAAGATAATGACAGTTATACTGTCGTTCGATCTAAAAAATCAATTAAAGAGACTTTAGTAGCCAAATCACAGTTAAATTGTAGGAAGTTGCATACTCTGCCTGCTTATAGCAGCATTATGACTGTTGATGATGAATATATTAACTAGATGACAAATTCATGTTATATTGCTAATTGATTTATGACGATGGATAAAACCTTCTTATTTTCTAGAAATAAAGACACAGAATATTATGAAAATATTCTTATTGAGACTACCTATGTTAAATTTCAGAACATTGTTTGAACGTGACTTACTCCTAATAGTTTGACAGAAAATCGCAGGATTGAGATACTAAAGAGTTGAGTCCGTTCGAACAAGCATCGAGACAGTGGTATGAAAAGTTTAATAAAGAGATTAAGAATTTTGGGTTTAAAATCTCTAAAGTTGAAAGTTCTGTATTCTATAAGAATACTAATGATTACAAAGTTTTGATGATTTTATATGTTGATGATTTATTGATATTTGATTCTAACATAGATTGTGTTAATGAAACTAAGAGGTTTTTAGCACAAACATTTGACATTAAAGATTTAGGACTTATGGACACCTTTTTAGGGATTAAGGTAATAATAGTAGAGGCTTTACCTTAACTCAATCACAGTATATAGAGAAGGTGTTAAAGAAATTTAATTATTTGGAAAATTTGGAGGCCGGTCCCTTTATATGGACTTGTTTGGACTTAAGTCCGTCAAGAAAACTTATATGTTATGAAGTCCGTTTTTTGTCAATTTTACCATACTATCCCTTTATTTTAGAAGTGAAATAAAACTAAAAATTAAAACCTCTTAAATCTTAAGAGTTTGACAAACATTAAAATCTTTTCTCTCTCATATATATTTATATCCATATATAGGTTATGAGTTTGACTAGCGTTAAAATTTTTCCCCTCTTATTTAAATATATATATATATATATATATATATATAAAAATAACATTAAAAATAAAAAATAGTAACATTCAAATACAAAAAAAAATTATCATTTGGACACAAAAAATAATATATTTAAACACAAAAAATAGTAACATTTAAACATAAAAGAAATTGAAACATTCAATATTAATATTTTTAAAAAATAGCAACAGTAACATGTTCAACAAAAAATAATAATATGGTTAACAAAAACTGTAACATACTTAACAATAATTATTTCTCTCAAATTCAAACGCAAAAAATTGAACCATTCAAATACAAAAAATAGTAATATTCAAAAAAAAAAAAATAGAAACATTGAATATTAATATTTAAGAAAATAATAGTAAAAACATCCTCAACAAAAACAGTAACATAATAAAAAAAATAGTAACATGAATTTGAATTTTACTATTCAAATTCATAGTAATTTTTTTTTGTATTTGAATGTTACTATATATATATGTGTGTGTGTGTGTGTGGATATAGATAGATAAGAGAGAGAAAGAGTTTTAATGTTAGTCAAACTCTTAACCTATATATGAATATAAATAGATATGAGAGAGAAAAGATTAATTTCCTTTCAAGAAAGGGTATTTTTGAGATAAACAAAAAAAGTGGACTTAAGTCATTACATATAATTTTAAATATGGACTTAGCCCCTTATAAGTTTCCTTACATGACTTATCTCCAAATAAGTATATTTAAGGGGACTCACTTTCAATTTTCACTAATTATTTTGATTGTAAGACTAGTCAAACACCTTTTAATACTAATTGTAACCTTGTACCTAATGAAGGGGTATCAATAAATCAAGAAAAGTATGCAAAGATCCTTGGAAGTTTGATGTATGCTTTGAATAATATGAGACCCGATATTGCTTGGCCTATAGGAATATTGAGTAGATTTACTTGTAATCCTAGTTTTGAACATTGGAAAGAATTAAGTAGAATTTTGAGATATTTGAAATATATTATAAATTGTGGATTACATTATCATTGCACAAGTATTATTCTTGAATGCTATAGTGATGCTAAATGGGCATCTGATGGAACAAACTCTAAATCAACTAATAGTTGGTTCTATTATTGCATGGTCTTCTATGAAACAATCATGTATTGCATTATCATCCATGGAATCTGAATATGTTGCTATGTCATTAAGTAGTAAGGAAATTATATGGATGAAGAAGTTTATGAAATGCATTTTTTTTATTTATATTACTAAAGGACCAGGTACTTTGTATTGTGATAATCAAGCATCGATTTACAATATTAAGAATAAGAGAATATCAAGTAATACCAAGCATATTGATATGAGATATGAAAAAAGGTGAAGTTACACTTGAATACTTGCCTCCTTTTTATATATGCAAAATTATAACTTAGAAACTATATTGTTAAAGTTCTTCCAAGGGGTGTTTTCTGCCATAGTTATAAAGGGATATATTCTTTCAAGAATTGATGCATAGAACACTATTAATAGAGTTAAGGTGCAAGAACAAAATAATCAAGAAATTTTCTCTCTTCTTCTTCTCTCTTATTCTAGAATTCTTACTTTTTGATTTTCATATTTGGGTCGAGTGTTTGATTCTAACATTACTAAGCAGAGCAGTCTTTGATAATTTTAAGGTTAGGCATTGTATCCTGATGGTAGAATTTTCAAAAGTCCATTTGTATTATAAGTATGGAAATTATTATCTTGAAGATAGCGAGTGTTGTGCATTGCCTAGCGATCTATCTTCTTCGTTTTTATTTGTTGCTTTTCTACTTTTGAAATTGTTTACCACACATTATTGTACAACAGTTCTTGCAATGAGATTTACATGCTCCACCCTGTTTCAGGAATCAAAAAAGGGATCGTGGCATGTTCCCTTAGCAGGTGATGGTGTTGATGAGTCTTCAAGAACCTGGATCTGCATCACAAGGCCAGTTTCTAATGAATCTTTCAATGAAGTTCCAGAACGTACAGAAGATTCTGAAATTGGTCAATTCCCTTGCAATTGTTATTTGTCGAATTCATGCGATTCAAATAATAATATTATGACCAATAATGGTTTAAATGGCGCTTCTGATTGTACTCAGATTTGTCATCACAGACCAATAACCATTACAGGCAAAAGGAAAAATAGGTCTCCCTCTCCATCAAGGCTCAATCCTTGAGAGAGAGGTTTTCCTTATGCCTGACAGATAATGTTAGGGGACTGTCAAGTGAAAACAAGAAACCCAAAGTTTCCAGGAAAAAAAAGCATAGGCAAGAAGCAGTAAGTAAAGAACAAAGAAAAATGAACCGTTCCTTTACCATGTTGTACGAGTTATATTATTTTCACTCTGATATATAATTCAATTTGATTAAGTTCCTGTTTTGCCTACTCGGTGGTATTTTTTGCATGATCGCATATGTATATCTTTCATTGTGCTAATGTTTTTGATTGTTGACGAGTAAAAGGGGTTTATACAGGCAACACCTGCGATTTAGGAGCTCCAGTGGCATGAGGCAATGTGTTGTTATCCTGGCTATATTGTTCTGTGTTTATATGCATGTGTTATTATTGGAGAGAGCACTAACAGTAATATGTGGTTCACTATGTCTCAATTGTGGCAGGACATTTTGCAACAGATAGAGGTTGATGAGTTGGGGTTAGTTCTACAATCTAGCCACTGTTGAATCGTATAAACATTTGAGTTACTCGTCTGTCTCTCTATTAGTATAGCTCCTCTCTAATGGTATAACCTTTTTGACTAGTTCGTCATGTGTTTGGTGCAAAGTGTAGTTGGTTTTTTTGTACACACGCACACATACTATTTCCAAAGGTACTTTTTGTACAAAAACCACAGAAGAACATACAGTTTGGTCTCTAGTAGACTCGAAACTTTATCTATTTCACCAATTCATTCATCTTATTCATCACGACAAAAATAGAAGAAACTACATTAGTTCCATGGATGAAAGTAATGTACCGAGTTTGAAGAAAATGTTGAAGCTCATTACGTTCCAAGCTGATCCTGAACACTCTTTTGCAAACGAAAGAGCTGAGTTTGAACAGGCTAGTGCTTGACTTGGTTAAATCAATTTGTCCCCTATTTGTTACACCATTTTTTAAGAAGCAATACTTTTAATTAATTTTAATGGTAAATGTTTGGATCGATGCATATATTGTAAACTGCCAAAGTTATTTTATGCTACTTGCAGGCTCTCAGAGGCTTAAAACAAAGTGATTACAACAACAATAAAATGGATGAAACTAAAACATTACAATCTATACTACCTTCAGTAAATGACAACCACCCTACAAACATGAATTTTTCAGGTTTAAAGAGTACAATTACGGTACTACAACCACCTTTTTTCCAACAATATAAACGTTGCTATGTGACACTTATTTATTTTTTATATGGTAGCAAAAATACTTTTTAGTACTATCTAGTCTTTATCAACGCCAATTTTTTGAAACATAACATTCAGCCCTTCTTGTCATCATTGAATACGTATTTCACTACTCCATGAATGTGAGTATTCATGAAGTAGTCTTCCCAGTTAATGCACCTGGGATCAAAATAGAACACGTCTGTCTCAACATCACCCTTTGTTGTTGCCCTTCGTAATCTTTCCGTGTTCATGTCATCAAATCTGTGTAAGAAATACAAGTTTATTATGAATAGAGGAAAATTTAATTTAAATTAGGAGAAGTTTTAGATGTAAGCACCGAACTTACACTCCCTTAAAGAATAAATAGGGTTCATAAAGTTCTATCAGCCGATATACAAAGTTGATCTTTCGACGAAGATCAAGGTACATGTCCTGAAAATATTGGCAAAGGGCTGTATTAATTATTTGTAATACCTGAAAGAGGATGAAAAAAATATATTAATAATAACATTGTTAATGTTACTAACAATGAGGAGAGAGACAGAATGTAGGGCATTTAAAGCTTAATGAACATAGCTCAATATATGTAATCAAGACTTACAATGTATTTGTAAGAAAATGAGATGAATGTACTGTTTAATAGTTAAGAAGGCAAATGGGAATACAGCAGTCTCTCTCTCTCTCTCTCTCTCAGCTACGAAAGTGGCTGTATGCATCTTATGAGAAAATTCTCTCAATTTTGTCAAAATGCGAAGAAGAACATTTTAAGAAATTGTGAATTACACTTAAATTATACAGAAGTGAAAGTGTCACGGGATAAAAATACTAAAAATAAGCAAGTAGATAGACGGAAAACCTCGCCGAGAAAACAAACCTTCAATGGAAGCAAGTAACGAATTGTCATGTATCGATGAAAGCTATCCATCGTGCTCAACACTTTCACCTTCCCGACTATGACTGGCTTTCCCTTTTTATTAATCCATGGATTCTTGGTGAAGTAACGAAAACCATAGTCTTGAAGATAAGTAAATACCAAAGGGTTTGCTACTGAAGAACCAACTTGGTAAATGTTCATAGCAGGTTGATTTGTTGCATGGGCTGCCATGGCAACTATCATAGCATTGACAACCATGTCCACCGGAATCTGTCGTACGATAATCTCCAATTTAAGATGTTGCATTTGATGAAATAGCTAAGAAAATATTAATTATGAGGAAAAAAAAAAGGAAAAATGGGTCAACTCACCACATCAATCACCGTATTAGGATCACCAAGGAAGCAGGTGATTTTTCCTTTACCATATCCAACACCCAAGCTATCTATGGTTCTGTAGACACAAAAAACAAAAAAAAAAAAGAGAGTTGTTGGTAGCTATATAAGAAAATGAATTAGGTTTTAATTTGCCATATATCTATAATATCCCGGGTTTTTTTTTTCCATTATTCCCATAACAAAATATAAATTAAAATGGCCTGGATTAAATTGAACCCACGTAATTTTATGATTAAGAAAGTCGTTTTCATGGTTTTTTTTTTTTTTGGTAGAGTACCTGATCCCTTCAACCCAACCAGGAAACGGCTCTTTGTAGGTGCTAGTTATGATGGTTGGACGAATGATAACAAACGGTATGTTTCCTTTGTAGTTCCCCAGGAGCATCTCTCCCATTGCCTTCGTAAACACATAGGTGTTTGGCCATCCATACTTCCTTGCCCTGTAGCATCAAAATTAAAGGAGAAATATCAGTACCATTTATCAATTGCTATTGCTACATATAAAGAAACCCTTTATGGAATGCTTGATTTGCTTAATAGTCCAAGTCCTTAACCATCCTAACACCAATTTTTTTCCCCATAAGGTAAATATTTTATTAATCCGAAAACAAAGATATACAATAAAGCTCAAATCACGACTAGACAGTCACATGAAACATTACTCGACAAGTTTGTTCCATCCACACTTCTCATGGGACTAGGAACATAATAGATAACACCGGGTCCTAAATGATACTAAAGATCAAACATAATCAAGACCTAAAAACAAGCGGAGCAATATAAGGGTCTTCAATAAGTAAGTGGAAGAAAGAACACGTACTTCACCCAAAATTGAACTATCATATATTTTTTCCCAGAAAAGTAATAGAATTCATTCATTCATAATTGTTGTATATATCATGTACAAGAAAAGGATCACCCCTGGACAGCAAAACTTGTACAATCTCAGAAAAGAATCATTCATATTTTTTTTTTTTTGTGGTCCATTATAATTTACCATCTTTGTTATCCTATAGTAGATTCCCTAATATGCTGCAACGGTTAGATTTCGATACCAAAAACCAACGTTTTGGTGTGGTATCACACCCACCTTTTTTATCCAATCACTAAGTGACAGATGAAAAGTTACATTATTTATTATTTCAATGACCAACAAATACAAATAACTCTAATCGAAATTTAAGGCTGAGAGTCATTTTTCGGCATATCAATCTAAAGATATTTCTTTTATTGAATTGTGGTTAGATTTTTGGGGTAATAGGAGAAAGCTAATCCATTAAGTTGGCCACAAAAACAACAAATATTGATCATAATACCAATTCAAAAAAAAAAAAACCAACCTCTTGATTCCAATATCTTTCATGGCTGAAGTAATTTCTTGCTCGGAAGATTTCTCAACTCGGAGCTCATTCAATCTTTCCTCCATCATTTTCTTCTCTACATTGATATCTAATCCAGGTGTCCCGTTGAGTGTCTCACCCATGTTGTATGGGTTCTCCAATATTAACCCCGCCTTTTCACCAGACACATAAGCTGTAGAAAAAACAATCTCAGAAGTCTCTCAATTGGAAAAGCCTAATCCAGCAATGAATCTAATGTTACAATTACCACACATACACACAAACATATATGTGTGTGTGTGTCTTCATGTACATTTTTAGGAGCTTTACTGCTTGATTTATATTACATGGCAACCCTAATGGGCCATCATGCTTTGGCCGTCAGTGGATTGCTCCGTGTCGATTTTGAGTTGTGTATAAGTTATTTTGTATCAGATTTTGTTTAACCTATATTCAATCCATTTATACTCATGTATATTAAGATTGTGTCGATAAGTCATGTATAGACTGCATTTACTGAATTTATATCGTATTTAATCGAATTTTTGTCGATACATTTATTTGAGTCTAACGGGTCCTTATATTTATCAATTGGATGCGCTAAAACTCAGTACAAACTTACTAAATCTGTACTGATTTCATGTTGGGTTTGTGGGTTAAGCATGCTATATAGGCTCAAAATTTAGAATATATAAAAACACATAAAAGAAATGAATAAACTAATATGGAAAGAATAATACTAACCGGTCGACACGTGGAGAAAAACCTTTAATTTGACACATTTTTTCCCAAAGTCAAAACATTCTTAGCTCCCATTGCATTAATGCCCAGTGCAATATCATATCTGCATAAGATGGAAGAAACATTATTAATCATTTATAATTTGCTTTATAATATAAAGTGGTGGCCTACACCTTTCATCAAAGTTGGTGGTTGCAGCTAGGTTAACCACAACATCTACTTCTCTCCACATCTCTTCCAACAAATCAGAGTCCTTCACTCCCAGATTGTTGCAAGTTATGTCACCAGGGACCAGAGTGGCTTTTTGGGAAAGAAGTGTATATAGATTTCCGCCCCATCTCTCTTTTAAAACCCTGAAGAGGTCCTTTGCTACAACCTATATATACGGATGAAAGTGTCAAAAGGTCAATCAAATCAAATTGAATTATAACTCAAATAACGCAATGTTGTTCTCGTTTTTCACCTGACATATTTCTTGTTTCATTCCCTCAAATTTTTTAACAATACAAGTGAAAAAAGGTGATTTATGGTCTCAAGCAGTTTGGGCTTAGTTCGAGATATGGAGTTTCTGCTATGAAAACGATACACCTGCTCTACTGATCTGATAGTAGAAACGTAGAAACTAGACATGGTCGATAATAACTTTTTCAATTTTTTTTGGATAAGAGCCGAATTAGGTGAGATAGATTTGTTCGAAATTGAGAGAATAAGAAACTGCAGAAAATGAATACCACCGACAGCAGTGGGTGGGTGCTGTATGTGCTCACCTCACTATTGAACCGTTTCAAGGCTGACTTGGTATCGGCAGCTCTTAGAAGGAAATAAAGCTTTTTCACATTTGGTTGAACCCTTACTATCTTCTCTACAAAAACTTCATCAACAGAAGCAAAAGTTATCAACTCTTCATTAAAAAACTGTATGTGTGTGTGTGTGTGTGTGAGAGAGAGAGAGAGAGAGAGAGAGCACCCTTTCCCAGAAAGCCAGTGGAGCCAGTCACAAAAATGGTCTTGTTCTCTAAGAATTGGACAATGCTACCCAACTCCATTAGGAAAGAAAATTGTTAGTGGAGAGAGTCAGAGAATGATAGAAATAGAACAGAGAGAACGAAATAAAACAAAAGCAACCGACTGAAACAAAGGATGACGCAATGAATTGGCGTTTCATATACAAGGGCAGAGCAATCCTATTGCAATCTCATGCTACCTAATTTATAGTAGTTATGAGGAAAAATGTTGTTGGGAGTTTGGGAAGTCCATTGATTCTAAGCTTCTAGAACTCGTACTGATTTAAAAGTTTAAGTTTATAGTGAGCTTGTAAATATTATATTAAGATATTTTAACTTTTTTTTTCATCTGATGCTGGATTTGCACAAAAGCAATACTCAACAATTTTTCCCTCATGTGCGAACCACTTCGGGTTTGGCTTCCGCTTGAGGTCTTCTGATCTACCATTCTCTACAAGCATCACTTCCAATTACGTTTGTAGCCTACTCTTGTCCCAAGTTGTATTTTCATAACTTCAATACTAAGAGTTCATTACATTTCTTAAGAATCATCATTAACATCAGCATATTACATCACTTCTTCGAAAGTTTACCCAAAATTATAAAACATCACTTTTGATACCAATTATTGGGAATTTGGGAAATCTAGTGATTCAAGACCTAATATACGTGTCTGGAATTCATACCAATCTAAAAGCTTAAAATTATATATAGCGAGTCCATCAATAGTATATTAGGAGAATTCAAATTCTCTTTCTATCCTATGTGTGATTTTCACACATATAATACGCAATAGTATCTAGTTTGAGGACCTAATTTAGAAACCTAATTCATTATATCTATTGGAGGAGAAGTTGGTCTCATCTAGAATTGAAATTCACAACTATGTCATTGTTACATTATTACGTCAGCAAATTAAGTCAATTTTTTAGGTCTTAATAACATTATTATTAAATTTTTGTCTTTTAACATACTTGAACGTAGACTATAAAGATGAAATTCGTCAAATATTTGAATCTGAATCAAAATTTTAAAATGGGATTAAGTTGAATCAATCAAAGCCTAATTCGCATCCTAGGCTTAGATTTCACTTTTCAATAATATTATTTGAATCTAATTGTTGACATAATCTATAACATGTATTAGATTAGTTGTGGATCCTAAATATTGAGAGTCATTGTCAATCCAATGATTATGAATGATTAAATTAACAAATTAAATCAATAAATAAAATATAAATAGCATTGTTGTTTCCTTTGTGTTAACCTCCTTGGAGGTAGGCTAATAGGGATGAACTGGAAATTTAAAGGTATTGAGTTCGAATTTTTACAATTCTTTGGGATTAAGTTATGAAAAATTTATTTCTCATGAATATTCTAATTTCGGTGTGAATGACCTGCCTTTAACTGTGACCAGACCGAGAAAAGAATTAGTTGAAATACACGTAATTTGACCTGAATATTCCTAACCGTTAAACCAAAAAGAAAGAGAGAATGTGGAGAAGAGAATCATCCACAATTGCTATTTAGCACTGTTTATTATTTCCAATAGGCCTTGGTTGAAATATGATCTATCATCTATTCTTCCACATGTTGCACGATATCTCTAATTGTATACGTCTCATATTGCCTTCACATTCACTCTTTAGACTTCTCCACCATAATAAAATAGAATTCAAAATACATATGATAAACCTAACTCCCAAATGAGATCAGTTAGGCTAAGCTAAGACTTGATCTTTAAAGTCTTTGATCTTAAACAATTTGACAAATAGGAATAGGAGTTATTTTAGGAGTCCAAAAAAAAAACGGGTGTTCTGAAGTCAAATAAGAGTTAGGGTTATTTTAGACAATTTGATAAATAATGTACTTAGCTTTCTATTAGCATTTCTAATCATAACTCAAATTTAAAATGGTCTAAAAAATTTCCCCAACTTTAAACCCAATCTTATACCAAATAAAAGAAAAATTTATTCTAATCCCAAGTTGAGGAAGACTCAAATCCTATATCAAATTTTTAAGGATAACATTTGATCCTATCCAAACCCAAAAGACTCTTTCAGAAAAGTAAGTTCTTGTCTCTCCAACCTCTATCTTCAAAGTCATTGCCATCACCGCTAACCATACCTGTCTATCTATGCCTATATTCTTTGACGGTAACTTTTTATCTTTTTTCTCTCTCATAAACTATCATCTCAAAAAATATATATAAATATCTCTCTATCACACCCAGTAAAAAAAATTCACGAATCTATCACTCAAAAAGGTTGGTATTCCTGCCTTTTCTTTTGTTAATATTAGTGAAGTTTGTAAGAAATAAGTTGTAAATTCAATTATTTTAAGTTCAAATATTGACACCTCTATAAGATTAGTTCACGATAAATTTATCTCTGATGAATAATTTAGTTTTGGTATTGATAGTCTGTCTGTAACCGAATTAAAACAAAAATTAATTGAATTGCGGGTAAACTGATCCAAACACTTTTGATCATTCAACAAAAGAAAAAAAAAATAATGAGAACCTATCATAGGTTATGGGCTCTTTGAGACTTAAAACCATTATATTCCATATTATTGCATTGATTGATTGATAGGTATGGTTTACACATACAATTAAATAGGAAATTAAATCCTTCTACAAAGATACCCTAGAACTCTTTCAATTTGAGCGAGTGCAATTGTGTTTTCAATGTGTTCGTCATGCATCGAATACAATGGATCAAACTAAATCACATAACGCTTTGTCTTTCGGGTTAGGGGTGTCAAGTTTACCCACAAACTTAAACTTGACACAAACTCAGTCTAAAACAAAAACTTAAAATGACCCGATTAATTAACACGTAAAATAAATTGGTCAAATTAAGGTTATACACGAATAACATAATTAATGAATACAGTAAAGAAATAGGTATTTAAAGGGTATTTTAAACAGAAAATAATTAATTTATAATTTTTTTTAGAATTTTAAAATAGTATTATGAGTTTTTTGTAGAATTAAATAATTTTTTATTGACACAAACACGATACGAAAATAAGACGACACGAAAATAACACGATAGGACACGACATGATTGACACCCATTTTTAATGGTCATCATTTGAATACATATTTTACTAGCCCAGGAAGGTGAGTATTCATGAAGTAGTCTTCCCAGTTGATGCAGTTGGGATCAAAGTAAAACACATCTGTCTCAATGCCACTCTCCGCTACCGCCTTACGTAAGTTTTCTGCGTTCTTGTCATCAAAGCTGTATAGAAAGAGAAGTTCATCATTGAGAGATGTAGTATGTATATAAATAAGGTGAATTTTTCAGACATGAAAGGCAATACAAAACCATACTTACATGCCCTTAAAGAACATATAAGGCCTATAAAGTTCAATCAACCGAAATGCAAAGTTGATTTTGCGCCGAAGATCATGGTATGTTCCACGAAAATATTGGCAAAGAGCTGCGTTAACTATTTGTAATCCCTGATAAACAACAACAAAAAGTTAGTAAAAGGGTTGATGGGGTTTGACCACGAGGGATTTATCCTTTTTGAATATCCTAGTCTCAGTGTAGATGGTCTACCTTTGACCAGACCAGAGAGGAGATTAATCGAAATACAAATAAGTTAGTCTAGACACTCTTTAACGTTGAAATAAAAACAAAATTTTCAACTGTAATTAAGAGTTTAAAATGTATTGCTACAAAATGTGCCATGTGTTCTTTAATTGCTGGGAAGGCAAATGGAAGTAAGAAAACTTCAAATTCTGAACCCTCTCTCTCTCTCTCTCTCTCCCCCACCATTTTTTTTTCCTTTTTTTTTTGTCAACTATTAAACTGGCCACATGAGTTCTAGCACTGGGGCATGTAGAACTCATCTTGAGAATATAGATTTCCATGTTGCCATACTCGATCGGTGGTTTTATTTGATTGGGTAATATATACTATGATGGTGAAAACAAACCTTCAACGGAAGTAAGTATCGAATTGTCATGTATCTATGGAAGCTATCCATGTTGCTCATCATTTTAATGTTGCCAACTATGACAGGCTTTCCGTCGTTATTAATCCATGGATTCTTGGCAAAGTAACGGACACCATAATCTTGAATATTACGAAGCACCACGGGGTTTGTTGACGAAGAACCAACATGATAAATGTTCATAGAAGATTGATTTGCATGGGCCACCATGGAAACTATCATATTATTCACCACCATGTCTGCTGGAATCTGCACATGCAATCTCTGAATTAGACTTCATACTTGGACTACCTAAGAGGACATTATGTGAGAACCTTACCGACACCGATGTATGCATATGTGCACGGGAGCACATCATAAGAAAATTTAGTTTTTTAGCAACCAAAAGATTCGTCGTTAAAAATAATATTTTGATCACTACAAGTTTTCCTATCACAAAATAAAACCAAAAATACAAGAATCACAAAAAGTTTATAGCGATGAATTTTCAAATTCGACTTAAATAATTAACTTTTTGTGATAATACCATTTCGTGGCTAAAAGTTGACATTCAGCAACAATTCGTTTTGTCACACAAAATTGACTTTTATCAATGGCCATTTGCCATTATAAACAACACAACAATTCGTAACTAATTGTGAACATTTGACATCAAATATTTGTTGTTGTTGAAAACCAAATGTTACAAATGTCAAGTTATTTTTTTATATAGTCATGGTGGTGTTAAAAATGCGAAAGCGTAACATGATAAAAGGAGAAGAATGGCATCAATGAACAAAATTTTTGAATCACCTTCATGAAGGTTAAGAATATTCATCATCTGTTTGTACACGATATGAGTTGCACCACAGAGGATTATTATTGAGTAAGAAAAATGAGGGAACTCACCGCATCAAGTACAGTTTCAGGATGACCAAAGAAGCACCTTATTCTTCCTTTGCCATATCCAACAATAAAGCTATCGACGGTTCTGTGAACAGTGAACACAAAAGATGATCACTTTGACTATTTTTTCAGTTAGCTATATAAGAAGATAACATTGATCTCATACTGTTGTTTGCTTAAAAAGCTTCTGCTTGGTTACACCATACATATCAAAGAAGGATTTCTATGAATTACCTGATCCCTTCAACCCAACCAGGAAATGGCTCTTTGTAGGTACTGGTTACGATGGTAGGACGAATGATAACTACTGGTATGTTTTCTTTGAGGTGCCCTACGAGCATCTCTCCCATTGCTTTTGTAAATACATAGGTATTTGGCCAGCCATACTTCCTTGCTCTGAGAGAGAGAGAGAGAGAGAGAGAGAGAGAGAGAGAGAGAGAGAGAGAGAGAGAGAGAGAGAGCTTAATGTCACAAATAACACTAGGGTAATCCGTTTGTTTGTAGTGACATGTGAGAAGCACAAATCAAATAGTCCTATATAATGTGGATATGTTTATTTGAAAGCTGAAAAGAAAATTAGTGATCTCGTATTATATGAATAGTTTTGAGTGATAATATTTTATTTCTATAAATATGGTTAAGTATTGTATTTTTTTGGTCCGTGGACCAAAATGCGGTGTGCTGAACCATTTAGATCTCTGTAATTTGTTTCCTTATCTTTCCTATCTCCCTAAAAGTTGAATCAAAATTATTCTAGACAAAAAGAGTTAGAACAAGGGGTATCAGAGATAGCTATTGGCAATCCTGGGTCAACTCGTCAGAACAAGTTGTTGATTATCGTTGATCCATGGATGATGATTTTCTTTTCGCATAATACTTCAAGCAATATAGCGTGCCAGCATTTAAGATGGTTTTTTTTGAAAATTATGCTTATGGAGTTTGAGCTATGCTATACAATGGTTTGTGAGCTACTAGGCCAACGTCCACCAAGTATTGGTTTATATCTTGGAAGCACGCGTAGAGGTCACTGGTCTTTATCTTGATAGAATGGTGAAACCTTAACCATTGAGTCATCCCAAGATTAGGTAAGATGTGGACCAAGACACATAAAAGATGCAGATTGAGACACAGACTCTTGAAAATAGAGAAGATTGTGAGGACTCATGAGAGTGATTTGCACATGATGCTTGTAGAGAATAGTAGATCAGAATCAAGGGAGAGCTAACTCGTTATTGTTCACACACGAAGCGAGTTTTATGGGTAATCACATGTAAAACCCCCAAATTAAACAGGTAAAGAATTGAAAGAGTTTTAATACAACATGAATAAGTTTATTAGAGACCTGATACGAAAGATAAAAATCTAGTAGTATCGAAATAGTTTTGTGTGACAATATTTGTTTTGTATAAATACTGTTGAATATCAAATCAATTATGAGATAGATAGATAATAATACATCTATTTAGTTTTTTAGTCTGTGGGCATATGTATTTTTTGGTCTGTGCGCATAAGTATAATGTACATAACCATTGAGTCATCCCAAGTATTATTTCCCTGCAAGTGATATCCAAATTATTCTAAACAACAGTAATTCCAACACTGGGTATGATTTATAAAGCTAAGGACTTTGGAGAAACACTTAATATTTGAAAGTTTGACCTCACCAAAAAGATTATATGATTCAAAGTATTCAATTTATAACGGTGACACCAATCAATTATAAATAAATAAGTAGGCCAAGTGAACTTCACAAATTCTACATGGTGTTAATTAAATGTGGAAGTTATTGATAGTTATAGAATTTGACCGTATACACTAAGTCTACATGTTTATTTATAATTGATTGATGATATTATGTGACGGTGATAACATGGTGTCACTCTTTCTCTAAATGTTTTCTTCTCCTAGATAATGTAAGTTGACTAAATTCCCATCAGACACTACTTTTAAACTAAGGTGATAGGATCCAAAAACAAGCCTAGAGTCCGACCTTTGGATTCCAAGAGCCTTCATGGCCGATGTAATTGTTCGCTCCAAAGCTTTTTCACCGCGAAGCTCCGTCAGTCTTTCCTCCACCACTTTCTTCTCTTCATCAATGTCTAATCCAACTGTCCCATTAAGTGCCTCACCCATGGTGTATGTGTTCTCCACTATTAACCCCATCTTTTCACCGGATACATAAGCTGAAAACACAAGATCTTCAAGATTAAGGAAAAACCCTAATCCATTTGGTTATGAAATATGATAATAATTAATTTTGAATTAAATTTTTAAAAATAGAACTATGTCGAGAAAGATTTATTCTATATGAATTTGTCAATAACATTGAGTCTTGGTGGTGAACCGTGATAAGAAAATAGTCGAAACCTGCATGCATTCAAATATTCTAACGAGAAGGAATAATACTAACCGGTTGAAACGTGAACAAGCATCTTTAATTTAACACATTTTTTTGCAAAGTTCAGAACATGACTAGCTCCAATTGTATTAATGCCCAGTGCAACATCATATCTGCATAATATTGAAGAAGTGTTAAATTGCTAATGTTCCATGATAACATAAATAGATCCCGTAAAATATGTCCTTAAATAATGCATATTCCCTCGAGTATGAAAAATAACCTTGTATTCTCAAGACTTATCCCTTGAAAATACTGTACCCCCCCAAATTTTGTGCAAGTTCCCATAACTTCAATCTATTTACAAAGTTTTGTTTTCTTAAGTTCTATGTTAAGGTAAGTTATCTGTGATCTTAATGTGATCATGTAATTAATATAAGAAATTACAGATAAAAGCTATAAATTAAGTCAATTTCAAAAATAAAATTTAGGCTCCCATCTAAAATTTTAGTCTTAGGCCTTAAGTATTATTATTGAGCCCACCATAGTTATATGTAGAGATAGAATAAAAAGGGGCACTAAAAGGGGAATAGGGGGAATTTGGGAGGAATTTTACTGTAAATTTAGCATATTACCTAGTTGTTTCATGTGGTGCACATAATTAATAAGAAATTATTCATTTTCAAGAAAAGTTGTCATTCATCACTTTGTCATAATTTTAAAAAAAAAAAAAACTAATTCTTATGTTTTAAACCTAATTCTCACATGACATAGTCCTGTCATATGATGTGTTAAACCTACTCCAACTTTATTCAAATTCTAGGGTTGGGCGGGACTCGAGGGAGAAGATGTAGGGGTGATGGGATGGTAGAGGTGGATAGAAGATTTGGTTTTTGTATTATTTTTTGGGGGAAGGAGGGGGGGGGGGGTGGAATGGAGGGCTTGGGATCATAGTGTAGTGTGAGTTTTTTTGGGAAAGGATAAAAATGGTTGTTTTATAGTTTTTTTTTTTTTTAACTTTTGTCGGTAATCAGACTTGTACCAATTACTGTATTGAACTTGGATCTAGTCTCAACAATTCGACCTTGTTCAAACTACCATGCTGAAATATGATGGAGGGGCTGACTTTTAAGGGATATAAAAAGTGTTGAACCTGAGACCTCTTGTATTATAAGAGGGTAGACTTGAATGATAATATTATTTTTCATAACTCAATGGGTTCATCAGGTTAAAGGACAAATCTCAATAACTTTAAATGTAATTACTTGCAAATTTAGACAAACGTAAGTCATACCTTTCCTCAAAGTTGGTTGTTGCAGCTAGATTAACCACAACATCTACTTCTCTCCACATCTCTTCCAGTGAATTGTGGTCGTTTATTCCCAAATTCTCACAAGTGATGTCACCAGGGACCACAGTGACTTTTCTTGAGATAAACGTGCTGAGATTTGTACCACATTTCTCTTTTAAGACCCTAAACAGGTCTTTTGCTAAAACCTATATGATTAAAAGGATAACAATGTCATACATGGTGGTATATCAATCATATTCAAAATTTTGTAAAGAAATGATGGTAATCAAAAAATGCAAATTACAAAGATTTGCAACCCATGTCAAGGATCAAATTTCATTTTAAAACAGTCAAAATGTTTCTATTTCTGTAGAAACTAAAATGAATTAGTGATTAAATATCTAAATTCCTATGTTTCGAAGTGTATTGGAATGTTTCGGAAATAAATTTTTACATTTTTCTTTTTTTTTTTATTCTATTTTCGAAATACTTTTAAAACATTTTTGCTTCTTAGATGATTGAAATAATGAATCAAAACAAAATTTTTCAAAAAAATAAACATTCCATTGATGTGTAGCAATGATATACAAAAGAAGAAGGTATACCCCCTTAGAACATGCAACAAAGACATTAAAAGTAAACAAATCTCTGAGGGGTGCACATTCAACATAAGCGCCTCCGAACAGATTTGGCAAAAAGTACAATCAATACAAAGAGTTAAACTATTATCCAGTGTAGTAAGCAAACAAATGAAGCAAGGTGTGGAATTTAGGTAAATATATAAAATAAATATTTGGATATATTGCCTACCAAGAAATGTTGAAAGAAAAGAAAAGGCAGAATATGCCTACAGCCTACAGCCTACAGCAGTGGGTGGCAGCTCTATTTTCGCTCACGGCTCACCTCACTATTGAAGCGTTGCAAGGCTGAGTTTGTATCCGCAGCTCTTAAAAGAAGATAGAGCTTCTTCACATTTGGTTGAACCCTTAGTATCTTCTCCACAAAAACTACACCCACAGAAGCAATGTTATATAAACTCTTCATTAAGAAAACCAAGAGAGAGAGAGAGAGAGAGAGAGAGAGAGAGAGAGAGAGATACTCTTTGCGAGAAAGCCAGTTGCACCCGTGACTAAAAGGGTCTTGTTCTCTAAGAACTGGATACTGCTACCCAACTCCATTGGCGAAGAACAATGACAGTGGAGAGAGAGAGAGAGAGAGAGAGAGAGGGAGAAGCACACAATGGTACGAGGAGGGAGCAATGCATTGGTTTTTATATAGTAGGAGCTCAAACAGTGGAGTGCAAACCCACTTTGCTTTCGCTTTTACATTTCGTGAGCTCATTACATGTTCTAGGCCCATGTTTGCCAAAAGATAGTCTTACATTTCAATGCTTTGCATAAGATTTCCTCTTGCTGAGCTAAAAGATTACAAACTTTAAAGAAAAGCTTAGTAGGCGGCCGCATACAAGGGTACTAGGGCTAATCGGTGCGCACGATACAATGTAAATGATTTTAAGAGAGATATTGATGACCATTAGATGAGTTTATTTGAGACTGTCGAATAAATTTATTGAATTTTGCCTATTTTATATTATAGATTATAAAATATTATATAATATTGACCAAATCAATTATTACTGTTGAATAAACAATGACTTTTGTTTGACAATAATTTAAGTTTAAATAGCACAGTATTATTAAAATTTAATTTGAGAACCTAGTTTGAAAGACTTAATTTATTGTATACACATGGTTAAAATAAGGTAGATCTTTAAATTAAGCTCCTAAATTAGGAAAAATATTAGCGTAATTGTCCTATAATGAGATAACATATGGATAAATGGATCATATTTTAATTTTGTGGGATCCACTTGCTAACACATTGTGTCATTATTTAACGATTACACCAAATATTCTCTTCTAAATTAGACACCAATTATTATTAAAAGGGAATTTCATTTCATTCATACAGATGTCGGGGGCTCAAAATAACATAAAAGGAGGGGTGCACGTTAGTATTTAGTTGGTGATTTCTTTGGCAGATTGACAGCCATGTTGGTGATTTTTTTGATTTTATCCATCTTTACATTCAATGTATATCTCTAGTTATAATATCAAAATATATATATATATATATATATATATATTTTTTTTTTTTAACTTTTTATTGAAATAAAAACTTGACACGATTTAGTTTTTTTTATTTATTATTTTTAATTAATACTTATAAATTATTTAAATCAAAATTGACTGAAAATGAATTCAGATACTTTAGAAAATCCTAGTGAGAGAGCGAGAAAAATTTGGGTATAACCGTTACATCACGTTAGTATTGTCATGTGATGTAACGGTCTATTAATAGGTAAACAAATCAGTAAATAAACTTTACTAAAACTCATAACCACCTAATCATATAATATATTAAGGATAATTGGTGTCTGAAGACACTGTGTAATGAATAATTTTAGGAAGAATTTTGGTGGCCGTTGGATGAATTTATTTGAGACTGTCGAATGAACTTATTTAAGTATGACCTATTTTATATTATAGATATACACAATACTAACATAGCGTAACGATTACACGAGAGAGAGAGAGAGAGAGAGAGAGAGAGAGAGAGAGAGAGAGAGAGAGAGAGAGAGAGAGAGAGAGAGAGAGCAACTTTGCTTTTGCTTCTACATTTCGTGGGGGCAATCCACATTCTCTAGGTCCCACGTGTTACAACACTGGCCTCGGTGGTTGAAAGAAATTGATTTAATGTGTTTATGCGCAGATTCTGTATGACCAAAGAAAGAGTGTATTTAAATTCAAACCCAACAATTCATATATTTAATTCTGTAATGTGGTTTGTACACTTCTATCCGTTCCATATTTAATTCATTGGCAAAGTTTGATGACAATTTTAGGGAATAATTACAAATACGATAATTACTTATACATCAATAAAAGTTAATTATAATTTGATTTCGATTAAGTTATATAGAATTAATTCTAAGCTTTAGGATTAATTCTAGATCTTCACATTGGAGGAACGATATCAAATGACAACATTTTGTTTGTTTTTATTTTTTTCCTGCTGAGGACAGTGTTTTTTTAATAAATAGATTAAATCGTAAGCTCACATTTATCTTTATTAATCATTTTTTATATTCAAATTTTTTAAAATCTACGTATCACACTACTTAGTAATGGCGGAGTGATGGTGGAGAGAGATTGAAAGTTCGTGCATCACATGGATAAGTTGCCAAGGGTGTATTTGGTTTAAGTATTCAAAAGGGCCGGATTAGAAAGTGTTGCCCATCTCTTACCATTCATCTGACCTTTAGATTAATTATAGTGATAATGTATCTTCATTCTATGTTTGGTTCGAGTATTAAGTTACTAAAGAACCATCTGGATAAAGAGTGATATTTATATTCTAGAAATACTTGAAGGTAAAATTATCGTTTGGCCAAATACATTCCAATTGGATTATTTAAACACACAAAAAAGATGGGTTTATTTAAGAGGTTATATGTGATATTAAAAAAACTAACGGGTCTTTGGTTCAATAACGTATCAAGTAATATCTTCCATATAAAAAGACAATTTTAACCTTAATGCAATCTAATCCATATTCTTGTTTGTTGATACGAACACTTATGTTGCGAAGGAAATGGACTGAAATTACATTTTTTTTTTCAAATTTAATTCCAAACATGTTATCTCGATCTATTCATTCCAAGCAATAATCAACTGATCAGTATAAAAGACAAAGGCACTCCACCATGAACAAATCATCTAACTAGGTTTTAGACGTGCCTGTGAAGGATGCAATGCATCCTTCAAATAATCAACAATAACTAATTACATTATAATATGATTTATACAATAAGGTGTTGCCTTTAAAAGATCAGACAAAATGACAGCAACACGATACCCAATTTAGACAAGCCTATCATACACGATAACTTATAATTTTTGTATTACCACAAACATTCATACCCAAAAAAATAAAATGACTTACAAGAAACATATACACAAGACTACTAATAACCAAACAGGTTAATCGTCAAGGATGATAACCTCTATGTCTTTATCTGGAATACCACTCGTAGACGAAACCACACTTTCAACCAACTCTTCTACGGGTTGCAAACAAAGGACATGGATTCATGCCCTAGTTGCTTGCAAACTTTATTTTTTTTCTGCACATTTGAGTTGGGGAAAAAAAAATTAAGCACAGGTGTAACACAAAAAATGATTTCAACCTAAACCCAGTCCTTAGATGATCATCAAATCTTATGTAAACATATACAACTCAAATGCAATTACATGCTGAACTTACCTTTTTTGTGTTTGAAAAAAAATATTTGAAAGACAGAGACACTGCAAAGTTTGAAAAATGAAGCATGAACAAGCTGAAAAATAAGAAAATACTATAAAAAAAATACTTCGATAAATTATTAGATCAATAAGTTTTAGATCTGTCCATATGAGATTATACGCTGGCGTAAAACTTAAAATTTTAAAAATTAAGTTCGTGCAATCTTTATTGATGATAATTAATAAAAGATAATTCTAAAGTTCGAAGCATTATGTATAACATCTAAATAATGTACTCCAAGCATACCAATTCCAAGCAATGTACTCCAAGCACACACAGAGTCATAATGGGTCATACACACTCCTAATTTGTCCATTGCCCACATAACAGTAGTTTTAGAAGCTAAATATCTATTCATACAAACCCACAGTCATATTGATGGAAAAGAAAAAGCAGAAGACGTATTCAATATATTTTTAGGATGAAAAATATAGAAATAATCTATGGGGATGGAGTAGGAGCAAAGAAATGTATTGCTTATGAAAGGGAGAGGAAGTTGGCACAATAAAAAAAAAATTGTGATTCTAGTTCTTCCGACGGACTTGTAAGCAACCGTGGAACAACAAATAATCGGTGGGAGAAATCTGGTGTGAAATGTAGACGAGAGCCATGGATTAGATCTCGTATGAGTTGTGTACAAGTGCCATGATTCAAATCTCGTGTGAAATGCAGATGAGAGTCATGGTTGCAAAAGTGTGGGTTGAGAGGCACAATGGTTGTTTTTTTTTTTTGGGAAAGTAAAATTTACATTGAGACAAAGAAAATGTACAAAGTACAAACAAGGAAATCACTCCTCAAAAAATAGAGAAAGGCCAAGCAACATTCAAAGGGAAGTGAAAAAAGAATAAACACTTCTAGATGAATCCTGCATAGAGAGGCAAGAAGGGAGGAAGAAGAGTCATTGAAGACAATCCAACAATCCCCACCGGTGAACTAGCTGCCTATTCACATCACAGAGTTTGAATTTGAGGGAAGCCATTTTGCTTCTAATGGCCATTTGAATAGCTTTGGAGACAGAATTAGCATCCCTGAAGAGAACTTTGAATCTTCTGTTGTTTCTCTCCATCAATAACTGATAAAGAGTGGCAGCAAGGCTTAATCTAAGAAGAACATTTAGCATTGATTTTTCAATCCAATTAGAAGTAGTCCATTCAATTAGCTCGTTCCAGGGTCTACGTTGAAGATTGATACCTGAGTTGGCCAAAATAGAATTCCAAATCCCATCAGAGAAGAAACACCCAAAGAATAGGTGATGGTGAGATTCATCAGCATCTCTACAGAGGATGCATTCAGTTCCAAGATGAGCTGCGTAGGATTGCATTCTATCCGGGGCGTTAAGTTTGCATCCAATAGCAAGCCAGAGAATGAAGTTGTATCTGAGAACAGATTTGCTATTCCAAACCAGTTTATGCCAAATAATCAGAGGGTATTTACTTCTAGTAGCCTCCCATGCAGATTTGGAAGTAAATTTAGAATTAGTAGTTGGAGACCACTTCACCACATCCTCCCTCCTTGAATCCAATTGATAAGTAGGAAGATTGTTGATGGTTTCTTGAGTAACAAAAGAAGAACAAGCAGACCATTGCCATCTATTATTGGAGATAATGCAATTAACCATGAGGATTCTTAGCAAATTTTCCCCACGATTATCCTCTAAGCTGCAGACAAGAGAAAGAGGCCCAAATTTATGACAGTTATCAGACCAAACACTGGTACTATTTCCATTTCCAATGATATGAACCATAAGAGGTCTCATAAAATGCCTAGCTTTAAGAAGATTTAGCCAATTCCAAGAGCAGGCATGAGGAGTTTT